TTTGCTTATAACGGTCATGCTCTCGCTCTCGAAATCTGCACACAAGCTTTGCCGACTCGGTCAGTCTGCTCACTTCCCTTATGAGCTTTATAAGTGATCTGCATTCAACAGGTCCACATATAAGTTTTATCGACTGTCATAAAACTCGTGGAGTCTGACTGCGGGAGACTAAGAAAGGCCTGGTGGCGGACGGTTCCGCACCTACATCACATAACAAACAGGACAATGATACCGTTGTGTAGGATCGCCCGTTCAACTCGGGGCTAGGCCATCGGACCGAGTCGCTGACAGCTTTTTTCTTTCGCTTATTTTCAGTGTTGGTCTTGCCGCAGCAACAGTAATCATTTTTATGACCAAGGCAGGTCCGCGTTGGTCGAATCGGCCGGCCAAAATGCGGGCTTGAACCCGACGCCCAATCTCAGCGGGAACATGGACGTGGTCAATGGATGGCGGGGAATGCTTGGTTGGCCTCGAGTTCGACGGTATGTACCGATCGATTCATTGAAGGACTGTATGGTAAATTCTTGCGACCCCGGCTGAACGTCCAAACAATCGGCAAAAAAATACGGCCCTAACTACAGTCTGCTCGGTGAAACCAAAACCACTCGAGCCTCGCCGGCTTCTGATGGTGTGGTCGATCGCACAGTAGGGTTAGGGTTACACGGCCCTAAAGAGTGAAAAAAAAAGACCCGCGGACAGACCGTCCCCTTGAAGCCTTGTACCTTCTCCCTCGTTGGATTCGCACTCCGTAGCAATGCATGCAAACAGAAAGCGATCAAGAGAGGGGCACGGGCACGCTCGCCTGTGAATGACGGGTAAGAAGCGGGCGAAGGCGGGGCGCGCTTCGGGGAGTACGAGGATGGTGTGGTGGCCGCCGCTGTGGAAGGAACGCGACGGTCATCTACACCGTCCGACTTCGTGGACATGCGTTGCGGGATTCCAAAGACACTGCTAGCACGCGTCCTTCGAGACGTCTGACATCATCGAGTTCGCATACGGCGTCGTGCGACATACAGACATCGCGATTTCAAGAGCAAGGGCGCGCGCGTTAGACTGCCAGGTGATGAAGTGGGATGGAGAGGAGACGGGAGCGGGTGCACATGCGAGATCGACGGGACTGGACAGAACCGCGCATGCCTGCCGTGTCGATATCATCGAGAGTCTGGTGTACCGACGACAAACGTACGAGTATCGTGAGACTCGAGCAGCCAAGAAGATCGCAGTGCGCACCAGCCGCGGTACGGTGCCGGGATGGTGGTAGCTAAACGGCTAGGAGTACGTCTCTGCAACGGCAAAGCGGGATCGGAGGACGCGGTGGATAATGCGCGCCTTCGAAGCAAAGGCGCAAGCAGCCCTGGCCGTCGGTTTGGGAAGGCAGGAGTACACCACGGTCGTGAGCATCGACAACTCCAGTCTTGAAGAGGCGGGAGACGGGAGTCGCAGGACTGCAGAGGACGTAGAGAAACCATAGCACAAATGGACATAGGTCGATGGCTCGGAGGTGTGTCCAAGACGGGGTGGGCAGACAACGCGGGCTTGAAGCAGACGGGGCGACGCGTGAGTACGGGGCGGCCGACAGCATCGTATGGTGATCGGTATACCCCGCTTCCGACGCTCCGCCCACATCTCCCTCCCCTCGCTCCTTATGCCCGCACCCCACGACCGCGTACTGGTCCGGGGTCGGTGTCCATCCGCCTGCGCCTCCGCCTTCCACTGCCGCGTCGGCGTCCGTGCTGCAGAGACTGAATACACTCCGGAGGCGACATCAATGCCCTAGAACCTGGAGAGCAGACTCTAACCGGCGTGAGTCGCCGGGCTGCGGAGACGCGCAGCGACGCCACGTGGAGCACCGATCGCAAAGAGGTAGGCCTCGGTGGCGGGGAGAATGTACGAGGGGAGTCGGAATACAGCAAATGCGCGCAAGCGACGGCACGCGGAGCGTCAATCGCAGAGAGGCAGGTCTCGGTGGCGGGGAGAATGGACGAGGGGAGTCGGGATACATAGCAAGACTGCAAATGCGCGCAGAGGAGTGATCGCAAAGTCACAGTGGGGATGCGAGTTGGAATCGCGAGACTACAGCGAGGCGGCAAATGCGCATTAGCGGCAGCGCAGAGCGTCGATAGCGAAGCGGTAGGTCGGGAGGACGTGTGAGGCGAGTCGGAATATCGCAGGACTGGAGAGAGACCTAGAGACGCGCCAGCGACGGCGCGCGGAGCGTCTATGGAGAAGCGGTAGAGCGAGTCGGGAAAGTGATAGCGAGGATGACGCGGCTCCGCAGCCCCCTGAGCGCATCTCATCCCGCACCCCACTTCCGACGCCCCTCTCCTCCTCCCTTTCGCTCGCCTGAACCCCACGATGTAGAAGAGCATGACCCGCCTTCCTCCGAGTCCCTGTCCATAGCGGGTCCGTCTTCGGGTAGCGCGGCTGTGGAATTTGGATACAGGGACTGGACGCGCCGCCCCGTACACTAGAATCGCAGAGGAGACAAAGACGCTCGGGCAAGGTGGCGAGTCCGAGTCCGTGTCCACTGTCCTTGGCCCTCGGTCGGTGCTGCCGTCCTCCTTCGAGATAATGCCGGTATCCAGCTCGCGATGGGGGAGGAGCGGTGCGGGGACCGGATGCGCTGCGCCTCGACTCGGAGTGTGAATTGCGCGCGAGCCTGAGATGGAGGAGGTGGAGGTGGAAAGGACGCGGTGGTGGTGATGCCCGTTGTGCTCGGGAGTCGGCCCCGTGGAGTCGCTTGTCGGCTAGCATGGCGTCACTGGCGGCCTGATGAATTGGGTCTACACAGCTCGGAGAGCATTACGGCGGAGGCGGGCGGGTGTGGTGGAGGGTGCGGAGGGTGGGAGGGTGGGAGGACGGCGGAGGCGTGCAGTGCGCACTGAGTGCCCTGCTGCGTGCGACGGGCGACGGGCGACGATGGAGGAGTCGTCGAGGACCGTCGTAAGCGCGTAGCGCTGGAGGACGTGGACGACGAGTCGCGTGTCCGGGGAGCAAGGCTCGGCGCGACAAGACTCCGGTGCGAGGCCACGGTGAGCTCTGGACACGCGTGTGCAATAGGGCCCCGAGATGCGGGATAGTATGATAACGATGAACTTTTCGGCGAAATTAGCTATGCAGGGTATCGCAGACAGGGACGCACCGAGCCGGTGTAAGATATAGCCGTCTATCGGCCAATATACGGCGCGTTGTACAAGAGTGCAGAAGGCGAAGGGTGCCAGGCGACGGAGTAGCACCGGGAGAAGGTGGAGGAGGCGGAGGCGGAGCGGGAGTCAGTACGACATCGTAACACGCCTTGGGCACACACACCCTCCGTATCGGTATCATCGAAGGTCTTGTGTCCCGTGGTACGCGTCGTGAGACTGCGAGCGGCCAAGAAGATAGCAGCAGATCGCAGTCAAGGTGCGGGCCAGCCGCAGTACGGTACCGGGGCAGCGAAAGGGCGAGGAGTGCCTGCGGATCGGGGAGCGAGGTGGACGACAACGCGCCTTGAGGGTAGAGGCAAGGGTGGTCCTGCACGCCAACGGTCGGCCTAGTGCGGCAGGGCGAGTACGCGGCACCATATGGTATACGGCACCTAAAAACGCTCCTTCCCTCATCCTCCTCCCATTTCCTCTCCTCATCCCCACGAGGCTCACCCCAATACGTCCTGTGCATCCGCGTCGGTCCACGTCAAGCCCGTTGTCGACGAGCGGCTGCTCCTGCGGTTGGTGGGAGCAAGCCGACAGAGGCGGGTGCGGAGGAGGCGAGGGAGGGGAAGGTAGCATAAAATGGCGTGGAGTGCCCTGCAGGCATTGTGCTGAAGACGGACATGGTGAAGCTCATCGAAGGAGCACAACGTGGAAGAGATGCGGCATCGAAGGCTCAGCACGACAAGACTGAATTGCAGCGTCATGGTAAGCCGCCGTCACAGTGTCAAATGGAAACTGGAATGAGGACCGGGATCTTCGTGGGCGAAGTGAGGCAGTTATACAGTATACGACAGACAGAGACGCACCCAACCGTCGCAGAATAGTAGCAGGACATCAGAACAAAGGCCCGGGTGGGCGGCAGCTTGCGAAGCCCGCCACGGACTCGGTGCTTTCCCTGCGCCCCCAGGATTCCGGGACAGCGCTTTTGACATTCACGCATTCGCGGTCCACTTGAATTGTGACTGAGGGCCATTCCAGGTGCAGCGCCTCCTCTTGGTGCCCGTTTCTGGTGTGCAAACCGAGCCGAGTGAGCGCTTTATCCGTTTCCAGAGCGACCTTTCTTGGACAAGTTGGACCTTTCAGTCAGATGGGTAGCCAAAGTCATTGTTCCGTGAAGTACGCTTCAAAGGGTGAAAGTTGAGAATTGGTTGAGAAGGCAAACGAGAAGGGGGAAGCGGCAAGTAAACAACCACAATCATCGGCGATTGCCGGACCACTCTGCGTCTTACCCTCACCGTCTTTCGTTGTTCTTTACAGCCGGCTCCAAATGAATGCCTCTTCCAACTAATCCCTTGGAATTCGGCCTGGTTCACATTCGCTCTCCGACCGGGGACTCGCGCTCCGAGCCCACCTGAGGCTGGCTCCAAGCTGAGGGCCTGAGGCTCCTGGGCCCTGACTGTCCGGGACGAAGCGTGGCTGGGCATGGGCGAAAATTCCCCTTCGTACCGCGACACCTGTGCTTGAGAACAACTCGGACGTCGTGCACGGTGCACACCTGCTGGCAATGCTGCGATAGAGGCTTCATACATAAATGCAGGTTCGAATCGGGTTCGACTCCCGTCGTCTTAGACTGAACTAGGGTTGTATTCGACCGCTTTTTTCCTCAATTCCTCAAGGGCGGTCCTTGCTTGCTTTGTGCAATACTGCTGATTCGCGGTTTTAGACGTACGGCCTGCACAATAATTTATCTAATTCTCTCAATACTGGACCAAATTCTCATTGCAGTATGCTGGCTACTTCAAGTTCCGAATCGTTCTGATGTCTCCAAAAAAATCGTGCTCCTAGCCCGCCAGTTATATAGATAAACAATCGGATGTGGTGCACGGCGCACACCCACTACGAATGTGGTTTGATCAATGATGACCTTTCAATGCGGGAGCCTGGGTTCGACTCCCAGCGTCCGAATGCCTGGGCGAGCGCGCCCAACTTTTTTGAGTAAAACCAGGGAGCATCGGCTTTCAAAGGTGTCCGTACGTCCGGTTATCCTCTCTTTTCTGCTTGTCTGCAAGAAATGATATTCCACTCACTCACAGTTACTTAGACACCCGATTTTTCTGACTTCCCAATCTTTTCCAGCCCCGAAAATGTCCCCTTGATAGTGTTGCCGCGGCTCGGCTTCCGGCGGCTAGCCGGTTCCGAGCCGATTGATTTGAGCAAGAACTATCACCAACCCACCTGCAAGATTTGCGACTTCAGAGACCCACATGATGTCTCTTGCATTGGGAACCTTCAGTTTGAAGTCAGCGGTCGCCAGGCTTCAACGGCTCGGGCGGCTTAGCCGAACCGAGCCAGCCGTAGCCAGCCGGCGGCAACACTAAGTCACCGTGACTGATGATCAATACGTATGTGCCAGCGCAGTTTTTCCTTTTCTCTCTTTCTACTTGCTTTGCATTCAACTTGCATTCCAACGCAGATGTCCCGAACTTGGAGAAGAGAACTTCAGTTAGCTCCTGCAAGATCGCGACATCTCGCGGGCGATTGCGCTGGACGACGAGTTATTATTGACGACCAAGACTTGACCCAAACTTGACCGCTGCTTGGCAAGAGTCACCCACGGCGTTCTGCCGCTTTTCTCCCTCAATGCATATGCCTCAAGCTCAAGGCGGTACTTCCTTGCTTTGCACAATCCTGCTAATCCGCAAATTTAGCATGCACTTATTGGCGATAGTTCGTTCAGTTGCCACCGTCTAAAGCATCCCTCGCATCGCAACACAAATGCAAGAAGGACGAGAAGCTGGCTTTAGCACGCGGCGGACTGGATTCGATTCCTGAACAGTACATTCTAAGAACAGTACTGTTCGACCTCTGTCTCTAGGTATTCCCACAACCTCTGTCCAACGCCAGACTTTAATGCGCCAGGAGGCATGGGACCTTCCCGCGCCCATGGGATGAGGAACTGGTTCTTGCATACAAGTCAGTTACAATCTAACAACGCAAAAAATGTGACTGACCCCGGCTTCATTCTTGCTCTTCAGCACTTGCTCGGAAGTTCCTCCATAGAGTTGAGTCAAAGGACCATATGGGTCGACGGGGTGGAGCATTGTTTTCTGGGAAGGAGCTTGATTAGCCAGTATTCGGTGGGCGATAAGCTGGTTCCGTCACGCACGAAGAAGAAGTATGCGATGGGGCTTTGATAGCGCTGGAGGTCGGTGCGCAGATTGCCTGGGGGTAAATTTGAACAACTGATCTACTCGACAGATAACGGTCGCACATACCAGGGTTCAACGAGATTGAGAAGATGTTTTTATCCCCGTATCGCTTTGCAAGCTGGCGGGACCAGATAACTTGAGCCTGGTAAGTCATCTATTGTAAGTACGATGACCATGGCTAGAGCGAAGCCGAACAACGCACGAGTTTACTTTGATAGTATAGCTTGGTCGAGCCGTACTTCGTCCGCGCGGGGCCGGGCTTGAAAGTATCCCAGTGTATGTCGTCTTCGAGATAGGCCGCGGACGATGAGGTGGTGACAATGCGCGCCTTGCCATCCGACGAAGATTGTGCGCCGGCGAACAGGGCGGGCAGGATGAGCTTCGTGAATAAGTGGGTGCCTGTGCCGCATCACAGGTCACCACGACTCCGTCGCTCAACACTTTTGTTCACTCACCGACAACATGCACACCCCATTGAAGATCGTACCCGTCCTGCGTTAGCAGCTCTAACTTCGGCCACATAACTCCCCTGGAGATCGAGGCATAAGCGCACGTTGGGATTCAGGTGCCGAATGGGCTTGACATACGCGTTATTGAACAAGACGTGAAGCTCTTTCTCCTTGCTGCATCGTGACAAATGTCAGCAGAAGATGCATGATTTTCATAGGCCAAATCGGACCTCAAGAATTCTTCGGCGGCCCGTTTGGTGCTGGCAAGGCTGGCCAGATCCAATTCCAAGAAGATGGCCGTCTTACCAGTTATCTTCTCGAGCTCGTGAATAACCTTCTCCGTATCCTCTCTCCCGCGTGCCGCAAGATAGACTTTAGCATTGTGCTGCAGGAGAGCCTGAACTCGAATGTATCAGGAACAGGCGTCGAAGCGGGAAGTGCGCAATCTGAGAATCTCGCCTTGACCGTCTCTTTTCCAATGCCTCCTTTCGCCCCTGTAGGAAGGAAAAGGAAGTGATCTCAGTATCGAGAGAAAACGGTCAAATATATGCGCACCGGTAACGAGCATGACTTTCCCTGTTAAATCTGGGATGTCCTTTTGCCACCATTGGGGCTTTGGAGGGTAGAATTGACCTAACAGTGAGAACATTGTGCCCATTGTGCAAGTATCGAGTATCAAGTAGGGGAACTAGCGTTCTCAGAGCTTTGGTGGGGAGTTCTCAGGTTGGGTGGGTCGCTGACTGTATTCACGTTGAGGGCGGTCGGCTTTATACGACAGCCATGGCTGTACCCGGTCCACCTTTTCAATGGAAGATGTATTCTGGGAAGAGGACGCGTCACCCAGTGTCCATCTCATGAGCATGAATGACAAGTAGTCAAATCTTACTAATGCTTTGAAACTGACGGAATTACCAGAAATGATATATGCTGTGGGAGGAAGACATATCCGCCTAGCTAGCTCCGCTATTGGTTGAAGAGAAGCCGACGTTTCGTGCCATGAGCGTGAATGACAGGTAGTTCAGTCTCGAGTACTCATATTAGTGCTTCTTATTCCGACGAGGACAGAGATGATCTAAATACAAATTGTCCGACGTGCACCTCTCCGTCTAACTACCCGCTGTTGTTTGATGAAAAGGCCGCCCGAACCCCGACAGGCTGTCATGGACTGCGGCAAGAACACGGTAACTTGTGAGGTCCCAAGGTCAATACGGCCACCAAACAGCTCGCCGACTCCCTTGGCCCTCGAACCACGGTGTTATTTGCAACAGAGTCATGATCTGATCAAGCAAGCCAATATTCCAGTCACGTTACCGCGTTGGACGGCACTGCCACCCAGTTCCCTCTCAAGGAAGCAAACACAAGCATCGGCGATTGCCGGACCACTTTGCATCTTACCCTCACCTTCTTTCGTAGTTCTCCGTGTTTCCAGCGGGGTTTCAATGCCGTCCATGTCCCAAATATTTCCGGGGAATCTGACCTTGCTCACACTCGCTCTCGGGGTGGGAATCCATGCTTCATCTGGGGCTATCGATCTTCGCAGACTGAGTCAAGTTTCGGCTTGGTTTCGGGGCGTGTGGCATCATGATATTTTCTTGCCATAGATCTGCTCTTACTGGCAATTCTCTCGGATGTAGTCCTCCTTGAATTCCTATGCGTAGCTCGGTACAGCTTCAAGTCGATGCTATAATCTATTAATGGATCGCATGAACCCACGCCGTGACCTTGGACCCACTGTTATAAACGAGCCGGGTCGGGGATGACAACTTCAACATTCTCCTCTATGCATCCAGCCCTATTATTCCCTCTCGCGCTTCTCAGCCTTGTGTCATCGAATGATCGACTCCGATCCTCAATGTGTCTCAAGACCCATGGCGTGCTCTCAACTCCGCTGTAGGTGGGCGATTGCACACAGCGCAACCGATCGCATTGCCGTGCTTCTCGCTGTACAACAACCTGCCTGTCTCTTTGGACGAGCAAGCCTGCGAAGTCATTCAAGCAGTTGAACTACACATCCCGACACTTCAGAATAAACACCTTCAGTGCGAACATGTTTGTAGGTGGCCCGATCTGTGCTTCCCCTACATATGCAACTGATATCGCATAGGTCGAGTACGAGACGTGCATGAGCACCGGCGCAAAGTGTCTGCTCGACCCCGCAGATCTGTCAGCAATCGATGGCCAGTCTTGCGACTAGGGAGATATACCGCCATATTATGTGCGTGCTAGTCTCGCAGTTGACGCAATGTATACTCATTCAACTCCTTCATCGGCCAGATCGAAATCGAGACAGCCGCTGATGTCCAGGCCGCGTTCAATTTCTCCCAAACGACCGGGGTTGCGCTGTCCATCAAGAATACGGGGCACGATCTTATAGGGCGTTCGCGACGACGTGACTCTTTGGGGCTCTGGGTGCGTTCCATTATGTATGGTACCCGTTTGATGTTGTTGACCACTTGCAGACACACAACTTGCAAGCGGGGAGCTTTGATTGCAGTGTGTATCTCCAGGCAGCGGGTCCTTATCGACTGGCATTCTCGCCCGCCAGATGAGCTGCGACCCCACTTTTGTTCCAGAAGAGTGCAAAAGCTTGAATCGTGCGATAACCATTGGTGTAGGGGATAATTCAACTGGCTGGATGACATGATGGGCTAATTATTTACAGAAGGCCGGGGTCACATTCGAGCAAGTGTACCAATTTGCGGACCAACATAATTCGACCTTCGTCGGTGGTTACGCCCAGACATTTGGCGCAAGTGGGGGATGGATGGCTGATGGTACAGTTCATTACTGACCTCGCTGTGTTTAAACTGAGGGAGCCTCTAGGGAGGTGGTCACAGCATACTATCTCCGACTCTAGGGCTGGGAGTTGACCGCGTGGTGAGTTTATGTCTGAAGTTTTATGGCACCTTAGCTCATCTTTCCTTCAGCTTCAGATGAAAATCGTTACGCCTGACGGTGAGCTGCGGACAGCTAACACATGTCAAAACACGGATTTGTTCTGGGCGCTGCGGGGCGGGGGCGGTACCTTTGGCGTTGTAATCGAGTCCACTCACCTCGTTGAACAACGCTTCCCGCTTCAAGTGTATGTTGAAGCTGTCTTCCCACTTATATGCGCTCGCTGACTCCTTTAATCACCTGCCGGAAAATTGACAGTATCAACATGACGTTTGAAGCGACCTCCGCTAATCTGCCGGAGTATTTCAGTATCTTGGTAAACAATTCTGTGCGCTGGGCGGCAGAGGAGTGGGGTGGCCACATAAACAATGTTCCACCGGGTATTGCCTACGTCAACCCACAAATGTCTCTG